GATCTCATTGAGAGGTCGTGTTCTGCCTCATCGGCTTGCTTGATTGAAGCTGACCTCCATGGGACATTTGCAGCACCAAACCCATGTTGGGTGCCAATCGACAAGTGTGCTGCCTTGACTCCGTACTTTGCTGCAATTATCTCCAAACCGTTGAACCGCTTTCTGCGGGCAGATTAGAAGGAGCCGTAGAACAATTTGTCTATATCAGCTGATAAACCGTTTGCACCCCAATTCTGTGTGCCAACCTGCTGGAGACGATAGTTTCGACTTGATTTCGATATTCTCTATCTTTTTCACCCTCTTAGACTGCCTTCAATCAAGATTCACGCACAACTACATTCACCTACTTGGCCTCCAGGTCCAGTATCTGCTATTAGCGCTGACCTGAGCCTTCAGTGGTTAGTTATTTCGCCATATCTGTGGCGTAATTTACCTGCAGAAAATTTAGCTGTCGTCATGGCAGCACTAGAAGCACCAAATTAAGTGGGGCCCCACAGACACGCACTCATACATACACACACACACACACATACAGAGGTAGCGATTCCAGGGCATATACAAAATCTGTCTACAGGCTAATCACAGGCAGGCGCATTCGCGAAAAGACCTCGTGGCCTACGGTCTATGCACACCAACCGGGGACTAGGCGTCTGTACCAAAGTGGCGAACATCTGAGGCTGAGGGGACCGATGCAAAGATGGCCAAAAACTGGGGCTCTAACCTTCGATTTGAGCTGGTCGTGACATCAAAGTGAATGAGTGAGTCTCTCGGTGGAAGAGATTTAGTGCAAAGACAAGGCAGGATGGTGACGTTGTTTTTATATTAAAATGAAAACATCTTTCTGCTCCTGGAATGAACCACCATTGAACAATGCGAGTGGAGTGGGAGATTTTGGAGCACGATGTGACTAAATGTAAAGAAAGCCAACGGAATTTAAAATAAGGACAATAAAGATGTAGAATTAAATCAAAATATTTGCCACTTTGGCCGTTGATGCAGAACCAAATGTGATACACACACATACACACACGCTTCTTGCCAATTGTGGGAGGAGGGATTATGCCAACGGTACCTGTGCTCCTTTCGACAAGAGAAAATCACCGTCCTTCTGGTCAAATGTAAACCGAGCTTGAGTGTGTACCGCCATACCCAGACGCCCTGGTGCCTGTGTTGGCCCGGTATCATCGTGTGCCATTCGTGGAGGGGCTGCCAACAGAGGCTGGTCTGCTGTGACGCTGCTACGTGAAAGCACCAGTTGAGCCCGGATGAATCCCATCCTAGCACGAATGAGTGGGCCAGATGCGACCAGCAACAGGCCGTACTTCTCGTCCCGGTGTGTGGGTGCGCGTGTGTGCTTGGTCTGTCTTTAAATATTATCTTTTATCTCTTAGCACCAACTTTGAATATAATCGTGACTCAAGTGAATAACGCAGATGCTGATAAACAGAACTCCTCGCATCCGGGACTCGCCGTGGACTGTGAGGCACTGGCTGGCCACTGGAAATTATTTTTCCATTATCGAGCCCACTCTGTCGCACTTTTGCAGAACATGATGCCTTTGTTGCTGCTCTTTCGGCTACATATCTCAGCAGTTGCGGTACATAAAAACAGACCTAGTGCTGAATAGAAGTTGTTTGACCTTGTTTTCGCAACTTGGTCATATTGGTAGGAAGACTTAGAGCAACGCACCTTGTCCTGAGTCCATTGTATGCATCATCATTTGCAGTCGAACCGTGGACGTGGTACATTCCCAGACGTTTCGCCGGCATCTTCAGTCAGTATCGCCATTCGTAGCACCATATTACAACTC